TAGGGATATAAAAAAAAAATATATATATATTTTATTATTCCTTTCTTTTTTTTTTGGATGAATTGTGTTCATATTGATAAGGAGTTGAATCCGCGGAGCTAACGGGTGAAGAAAAGGATCACGTAGTGGTCGTCGGAGTCGGAATAGACTCGGTCGAGCTCACGAGGCAGCTGAGGAAGAAAGTAGCCTATGCTGAGCTCGTCAGCGTGGGCGAGAACAAGAAAAAGACCGAAAAGCCCGACACAATCTGTCCGTCGGTTATTGGTTTTCCTCCGCCACCGCCACCGCCACCGCCACCTTATTACAGCTACCATGTTTGTGAAGAAAGGGATCCTTTTTGCATCATCTTGTGAAGAAGAGAGGGATCTTTATTACAACTACATTGTAAGAACATAGTAAACCAAATTTAAATTAAATATTATTATTATTATTATTATTATTATTATTATTATTATTATTATTATTATTATTATTATTATTATTATTATTATTATTATTATTATTATTATTATTATTATTATTATTCGTGTTGTTGAGTCTTATTATATTAATTTTCCAATGTGTTTATTTAAGAGAGAATTACGAAATTATATCTTAAGCTCAAGAGTTGTTGTAGAAAATTACTTAATGGTGTGACTGAGATCTTTGGAATTAATTAACCTTGTTTATTTTCTGTATTTTGATTCGTCTATGGTTGACTTTAATTCTCTTAATATGTTGTTGAATATTCTCCAATACGCAAGTGACAGCGAACAATTTAATAATTTTGTTCTTTAAAATAGTACTAAGATTCTTGTGGACGACATGGCAGATAGTCAACGTGTTGTGCAAGTCGAGAGATTTTTGTCTTATTGTCAAATTCCAGGCCGGCCGTCGGGTCGTTGGGTTCAAAATCACCGATCCTGAATCGACCCATACTTAGGTACATGTCTGGTCGGGTTCGACTCGAATTCGGGATCCGTCCTAAAAAATGTTGAAAAAAAATCTACATTTGATTTTTTGGGACGGTTCTACCCGACCCAACCTTAGTCCGGGTTGCCAAGTCATATGTTGCATATATATGACCCTGAATCGGTTCGATCTTAATCTGTGCAAGGGCCGAGACCCGCGGTTAGTGGGTCTGACCGAGCCGAGTTCATGTCGGGTGACCCGTAGCGATGTCTGTCCAGTACTAATATGATTTTTTCCATCAAATATTTTCCCTCACAATTTTATTTGGTGATGTACAATGTAATCTCAACGAATCTTATAGCTTCTCGATTTGGTGAAGTGAGGAATCGATTTTTGTTAATTCGGTCCCAATAGAAAGCGTGTCAACCAAACCGGCCCGAGGCGAACTCCTCGACAGATCGAGGAGATCTCGGGAGGAAACAATGGGCGGTTATTCTAGTGGGGCATGGGGCGTAACAATTTCCTAGATATAGAGGACGTCGTCCTGGTGGTTAGGAAGCATGTAAATTTCGAAAGGAGGTATAAAAGCACTGACGGAGCGATAAGGGGCCAAGGAGGGCCCGTGGGCCCCCCTCAATTTTTTTTAAAAATCCATATATATATATATATATATATATACTATAAAATAGAAATACAAAAAATATTACAATATATTAATAATTAAAACTTATTAAAAATCAATATATATAAATAAAATAGCATAATATATTTATAGCAATGTAAAAAATATTTACAATATTTACAAATTAAAACTTATTTCCTATGTTATTTTCATTTAAAATAATAATATTATAAAATTTACTAACAATTCTTATATTTTAAATTTTTAGATAAACTTTTGAAAATATTTATAATGATTTAATTTTTTGGACTATTGATTGTAATCAATTTAGTGATTTATAAAACCGAGTATTTATTATTAGTTGGATTATTACATTTTTTAATGTTGATTTTTTACTCTCTTTTTTTTTTTATGTGAATCACATATTTTTAACTTTATTTATTTTTTCTTAGAAAAATGTCATTTGATAAGCTTTAATCAACACAAATGCTGTGGAATGTTGTGCAAAAGTTCAAACTAAATCAAATTTTCAACCAAAAAACTTATTTGTCCATAAATTATAGATGTTGAACTTAACATATAAATACTTGAAATCTCCTTTTTTTTAAAAAAAAAAAATTAATAAAGTTGGAGGGTGATACGATTATATGTCTTTAAAAACTTTATGGTACACGTATCATTATATATAAATATATTTATATGAAATGAGTATTTCGACTTAAACAATAAACTCGTTATTTGACATTTAAACTCGGGCCCCCCTGAATGAAATTTCTAGACCCGTCGCTGTATAAAAGCAAAGGAAGAGGGGATAAAGGTAAATTTTTGAGGGATAACAACATTTTTTTTTCTCTAAATCACGTTTTGAGATTTGTACTCTTGAGATAACTGACTTGATCGTCGGAGGGCCAAGCCGGAGATCCTTCCTCTTCGGTCTAGGCTTCTTTGAAGGGATTGAGAGCGATTGATCGATACGAAGAATGAGATCCCAGAGATTCTAACCGGTCTGAGGTACAATTCTCATACCAATATTAATAATTTAAATTAATATATATTAATTTAAATATATTAATAATTTCATATATATTATTATATAATGATATATATATATGAATATTAATAATAGATTAATTAATAAAATTAATATATATTCTTCCACCTAAAAAGTTATAGAAATTTTGTTGTTTTTTTATGTATTAATGTAATTTTGAT